ACTCAGCTTGTGAATGGAGTTGAAGATTATTTAAATGGTAATTCTAGTATGATTGCTGATCTAAAAAATGCTCATAGCTTTACATTATATGTTATACTTACTACATTGGTGTGTAAAAATCTTCATTTATTTTTATCCTTTATTATTTTATGATTCATGTATTTATTTATTTATTTGATATTTATTAATTACAGGGAGTATTTAAAAACAAGTACCCAGTATCGGCAGATCTAACTTACGAGCAAATTAAAGAACTCGAGTATACACATTATAGGACTTTATACTGGTCTTCTACACTTTATTTCGAAATTTATAAGTGTTCCGATCGCGTATTGATAAGAGCGTTATTCGATTTTAAACCATTATTGATTCCGGGTTGCGAAAATGAATATTGCGAATGGAACAAATTTAAAGAGACTCTTGGTGATAAGATTGGATGCGATTTTGAAAAGCTGTGCGCTTATCCTTGAATTTTATTTTCAAATATTATTTATTGTTTCTATATTTCACTTTATTCCCGAAATATTTGACATTAATCAAATAAGAATTTCAAAAGTTTATGTAAAAGATCATTTTCTAATTGAAAAAATGAGAATTTTTCATGTCGTTTATCAATTGTAATTATATTTTCACTTTATAAAGAAAAAAAATGATTGTCATATTGTTGCGCTCATTCTTAAACAAAAAAAATGGTATTGCCAGAACATCGGCGATTCAAATTTGTCCACTTGGGGTAAGGCATTATTCCTAACGGACTAGGCGATATTTTGCTAGAAGGTATTTTGGACCACGCCGAAGGCAAATTGGCCAAATTGATCTACAAAGTCTAACTAAATACGCCGCATACCATAAAAGATTTGAATATCGTCGTAACAATATTTACCAATTAAGAACCACTCATTCAAACAATACATGAGAAACATTAGTTTAAAATTTTGATCGGATCATATGATAATAGCGATCCTAAGAACCTAAGATCAAACTATATATGAATAGTAGAATTCTAAATGCAATAAATAACTAATGGATCTCAACAAACCTAGTCGCTTAAAGAATTTTCTTGTAAAAAATTATTCTAGTAAGTATTACGGAAATTATCAGTCTACCTTTTATTACTAATTGGTACGGACTATTATTTTTCGTCAGCTTCTTTGACGAATTAAAATTGAGAAAAGTGTCTTATAATCAATTTATGTTGATAAATTATAGACCGGTTTCTTCAATATTTAAAGTCAGATTCCTAAATTCAAGTGGTTGCATTGATAAAAGAAATGCTTTGATTATAGCTATTACTTATTCAATAAAATTCATTTTGATCAGGTAATTAAATTCTTTCCAACAGATATGCTATAGGAACTGACATTCTAGAAATGAACTAATCGTCCGGAATTTTGCGGACAAATTTTGGTTTAAGATAATATTACAATATCTAAATGACTAATATTTATCTAATTAAAATACCCACTTTATAAAACATGCAGTTAAACAAGTCCGCTTCGAAAATTCATAAGTAGGAAATGGGAATTACAGTTATGACAAAAAAAAAAAAATTTAATTCTAACGATGAAATTGTAGAGAACACTTTGTGCAAAATTTTGGATTCATGATAAAACTTATTTCTTATATTTGTATTTAAATTAAATATTTGAGCAGACAGATATATTTTAGCAAAATATGAAAAAACAAAAATTCAATTTCAACCATCCAAAAAGTCCGTTCTTAATAAGAATATTAAAAATAGTTTCATAAATAAACACAAAGAAATGATTAATAATTTTCGCTTTATCGTTATATTTTTAGACATAAATGGTTGTAATGATTGGAAAAATTTTAACCCGTTAACCAAGTCCAGTTAACTGGCTAATTCAAATATCAAAAAAAATTATTTATAAATTTAAACTTTCTTGCGGAAAAAATTGTCTTAAAAGTAAATTACACATTTTGTAAAAAACCAAAATGGAACCTGCAATGACAGCAAAAATATTGATGACATGTCGAAGGTGTATACTATAAATACAATAAAATAACTTTACAATATATATTTTTTTGTACACAATTTTAAGAAATAATTAATCGTTAAAATTAGCTGCGTTAAAATTAACCGGACCGATTAATTTTAACCGGTTCACTAATTTATAAATGTGAAAGAAACTTATTGCTTATAAAATGCTTTTTAATTTATCACATATCATGAATTATTTCTTGTATAAACTAATTCTTTAAAGACAATTCTAAATTCATTCAAAGGTGATCAAAAAAAAATTAAGTATGCCTAAATTACATAATTGTTTTTAAGCGTCATAAAAGCCTGTCTTCAAAAATTATGAACATTTATAATAACCAGATTTATGTTTGTTTTCGATCATTTCATAAATTCCGATATATAATTCAGGAAATACAAGACTCTGCTTGTATTTCCAAATTCGAAAATTTCTTCGCTTTGGAAAGCTTAAATTGCTCAAATGGATTATTACTAACAACAGCATCTATCCAACTTCATAACAATTCATATAGTTGTGCGTTGGGCGGTGGTACATAATTTAACGTAAATATATGAGGTTCCATCAATAATACCAAGACGAATCAGAAGCAAATTCCACTATCTTCCAAAGTTATACAGTAAGTACAGTCTCCGCCAAAAGTAATGGCGGTCAATTTTTATAACTTAACACATGCGATTTATTAATAAACCCAATTAAAATTTTTTTAAATAAAATATGAATATCATAGTTGCAACTCTTATTAATTAATTAGTATTTAGTATGCGCTCTTTCTGCATCAATAATTCGATTTGGCATACTATTGATGCAGTTAACTATTATATCATCGTCAAAATCATCCCATTCTTCTTGAATTATATTATAAAAAATTTCAATTGATATTTTTGTTTTTCTGCGCCACCATTTTCTTAATCTTTATCTCAACTTTTCTTTTTAAAATAGCCCAAACATTTCAATCGGATTAAGATCTGGACTATAAGATGGCCATGGAAGAACTCGACCCAGAAGGTGAGTTTCCAAGTCCCTTTGAACATCATGGGATTTGTGTTTCAGGTCATTATCTTGCTGAAAAATCCATCAATGACCCAATAATTCATTCGCATTATTATAGAGCTGATCGTTAAGAATTCGGCGATACAAATAACGATCAAGATTTTTGGTAAACATGTGCATGCAGATTCTTCCTTTAACATTGATTGCAGCCCAAACATGCACTTTAAAGGGGTGCTTAACCATGGGTTGACCCAGTTTTCTATCACAGGACCATGCAAGGGTTGTGTTACAAAACATTTGGATTGTTGTTTTATCAGAAAATACCACCCTTTTCCAATCATATTGCAAATAGTCTTGTGCCTAAGACAAGCGAATGTCTTTCACTTTTGGGTAAAAAAGGAACTTTTCGCAAAAGAACTGCTACATAACTGAGCCTAGAAAGTTCTCAACAGATAGTTGTTTTACCGATTTCTAATTCTGAATCATTTTCTTCTAATATAGCCTTCAGTTCCCCAACTGTAGTGAAATGATCATGCTTAATGATCATTCTAACGTGCTGACATTTCGCAATGGTAAATTTTCATGAGTGATCAGATCAATGAAATTTTTTCGTAAAATGGTAACATATCTTTCACAAGAACGTAAAGGAACTCCAGTTCAGTTAGAAATTTCCTTTGCATTATAGATATATTTATCTCAAAGATATTTTATGACTTCACGATTTGTTTTAATAGATGTTGATAGCATTTGGTATAGTGGTAATTTAGGTTAAGTTTAAAATAAACAAATAATATTTAAGATCAGGTTTTTTTGTTTATTTTATTAAAAACAACATCATATTGCCTAAATCAGCTTAATTAATAATACATCAAATCAGAACACTGGAGAAACTGTGACTAAAATATTATTTAATATTCCCACTGCCATTACTTTCAGCGGGACTGTATATGTATTGTATTTGAACTTTTCTTAATAAAACAATATCCGGGATTTCTGCTAAATCTTGTATAACTTTAACTAATATACAAATTAATCTTTTCATGATTCCTCAAGATATGAGTATTTCAATAACGCATTTGAGTTTATCAAAAAGATAAAAATAAATTTTTATTTTCACAATATTCAAGTATTTCATATCAAGCATGTAATTTGAAGAAGGAACTTTACTTATCCCAAAAAAGTCTGAAAAACGCTCATAAGATATTTATTAGCTGATTTTATTTATCAAATTAAATGTCATGAGAATTGAGAATTATTTTTTACTTCAGGTAATGGAAATTTCTATATCTAAAAAGAGAATTTTTAACAACCATCCCTGATGATTTTTTTAAATGCTATCACATTATAGTGTAGTATGCAGATCATGTGATTAATGCAATGCATTATTTATTAGTAATATTAAAAAATATATAAATTTAAAGTTTTACAAATGTAATTAAAAATCTAAAAAACTATATAATACTACAAATCTAAATAGAAACATTCTCTTTATTTGAAAAATGTAAATAAGTGTGTTCATTTCTTTTACAAGTTTTACATGGTACAGTATATTTTATTGTATTATATCCATCTTTAAGACAATTTTGACATATATATCCATCCTGATTGAAATCCTTTAAACAAATTTATAAGCATAATTTTAATCTTTTAGTAGGCCTTCCTTTTGAATTTACTTGCAATGGATTTAATATCATATTCTGTGTTTGATTGTTTATAGAATTGATATTAGATTGCTCCACCTGTTGAATTAAACCTTGTAAAGTAACTGCAACATGTGTTAAATTAAATTCAGCTACTAATGATGCTAATTTTTGCCCTAATACAGCATATTCACCATAAATTTGTCTTTTTGCAATTGTATGTTCTATTACAAAATCTTGATTTGAATAATCTTTTCTAAAATTTCAGATTTCATTCATAGAAATTATAAATGAATTTTCAGTTATATTTTGATCACATATTTCAGAAGAATCATACTGCATCCTTCTCCTCAGCTAAAAAAAGTTACATATTTTTACATCCTATACATCTTCAATGCTAAACTATTGTATCTGTAAGTTCTTTAAATGTATTTTCTTTAAGGTTGTGAATTTGGTTTTGATTATACAAGAAATGCAAATATCAAACTTTTAATTTTAAATAATAATTATTGAATTGTAAAATTGCTAGATTTTTTATGACAGAAAGAAACTAAAAAGAAATAAAGGAAATTTCTTAAATAAACATTGCATAATGTTGAATATGTCCTTCCATTCACAATTGGTAGGTATATTTTCTAACCGTAATGTAATAAAACTTTAAATCGAAGGAGGATTCATGCATTTATATAATTTTTTTTTATACCACATGAAATATTTATCGTGTACTACGAAGTTGAATTTAATTAGAGATTTTCATGAAATTTATGTTCCTTTTTAAATGAAATAATATTTTTATTTGTTCTGCAATGAAGTTTCCGGTGTTACAAGAGATCAGTATTTACGAATGGCGCAGTAGCTGCGTGAAATATTAAAAATATTGAAAATATCGATGATGTCAAAAATGTCATTTATATTAATTTATCAATTATATGTGTTAAAATAATTATACTATTTTTCGTTTTATATTTATTTTATTATATATATTTATTAAATTTCTTATAATTGTTATTTTTATATATCGCTATGTTTGATATATTTATTTTATTTATTTTAAATTAGTATTTAGAAATTCTGTATATAAACCCGAAATCCGCTTGTTCAAAGAAGAAGATTGACGAGTCTTGAGAAGAGACGTCCGAAATCTTGAGTTAATAAAATTTCAAGTTACACTTTCAAACTTTATCGTGTCTCCATATAGACTGACTAATAACCAACTACACAAAGA